TATTTATTTATTTATTTATTAAATTTTATTTCCTTAAGAATTTTACACTCCTGGTTTTAGGCAGGGTTAAGCAGTCGGACTGCTCCGTAGTAAAGAAAAAAGCTATTAGATGGAATTGCCTAGTTTGCAAAACTGTAACAGATAATGGAGGAATGGATTTAAAAACGAGGTCTTTCAAAATACAGAACAAAGAGAGGAAATTCTTCTTCTCTGCCTGAGCCTGCAGAGTGCTGCACTGTTCGGGCTGTGGATCCCTTGGCTACCAGAGGTAATCCCAAGCATCACAACTACAGCTGAGAAAAAATTCTGAATCTCCAACCCTTGGGAAAGTCTGACATTTTCAAATTTGCTTTAGGTTCCAAAACATGAGGTTAAAGAAAAAAAAATAAATCCATAATTCTTATTCTGTGGAAATGTCAAAAGCTATTTTTTATTATTATTTGTAAATGTCAAAATATCCTGCTTTGACATTTAACATGTAAACAACGAAAACACTTCAGCCCTGAGACTGCCTGTATAGGATCCCTTCCTCTGAGCTCCTACCAAGACTTCCTGTCATGCTTCACCAATGCATTGCCTTCTGGGATTTGCGGTCCCAGGCAATATATTCTCCTGTGGGCTAGTAACCTCAATGCAGTTAATAAAATGCAGAGAAACCAACATCTAGAGAGGGAGAAAGGTACTTATTGGGAAGAAGCGACCCAGTTCAGCAACTCAGTACCAGAGGACGGAGTCTAGAAAGCCAGAAGGGGGAATCCCAAAATATCAGTGCTGCATCTCCACGTGTCCCACCAGATGTCCCATCATTGAACATCTGCATGGTGGGTCAGATTACTGGGCAAATTCCTCGCCTTCAGAATATAGCAAGGATTAAACCATTTCCTCTCTGAGTAAAGTTAACTGAGAAGAAAACATGTCAATGGAAACTAAGATTAATTCAGAAAAAGAAACTATTCCTTGCTGGATTTGGACGGCAAGAAAAGTGTGGGAGAAAGACTTTTTTAAAGATTGCATGTTTTACCTGGCATGAGCTGCTCACTAGTGAGCTGTAGGATTGATTTGTATAGTATCAATGACTATAGAAACACAACTGCAGGCAGGATGGGGATTCATCCCATCTGAGTGTAAGTGCCTTAATAAAAAAGCTGAAGACTTCAACCTAGTGCGCCAAGGCTCTATCTCTGTCCACAGAAGGTCATCCTCAGAAGGTGCAAGACCAAAGCAGAAAGTTGCAGCTGATCTGGGTGGAAAATGTAGCAGGTGGGTGAGGAAAGCAGGTCCTTTGAGTAAGGATGGATGATCCAATGATCTTCACTAGAGTGCAGCTGGCTGTGCCATTAGCACTTGATTTAGGGCTGCCATGAAAAACAAACGAACGGATCGAGCTTGTAACTTGGAGCAGGTCAGGATGATGTGAAGGAGAAGCAGGAGCATCGCACTTGTTCACATTGCCTCTCTGGAAGAGGAAGAAGCCATCCCCTATTTCCCAAGCAGCGCCTGCAGACTCCTCCAGCCCTGTTCCAGCTGACCTCCAGCAGGATGATGGGCCACCAGAGGCCCGACAAACGCCAATGGCTCAGAGCTGTCCGCCAGCAGAGCTAATGGCCCAGGCCTTGCTGGCGAGAGAGCAGAGAGCAATAAATGTCCCAGAGATGCTGCTGAGTCGATCCGTTTCCTGCATGCAAGCTGCACATTGTAAAAACCGAGGCTCGGATTCTTTTTCCTGTTTGCACTGGAGCAGACCGCAGAAATTGCACAATCCTCCAGGCCAGACCCAAGGTGAATCGTGAGATGATGGATTCCAAGACAATATTTCACACTTGCTGAAAAAGCGATACAGCCCAGGGGAAGGGACTGTAATTAGGGAGAGCAGTGACAGCCCACAGACAAAGTAGTTCCATAAGCAGAGGAAGAAATGAAAGCTCGTTTCCAAAAGCTCTGACTTGCATGGATTCTCCAGTGTTCAATAAAAGGTGTGATCCCCAAGCAAGAGAGTCTCTCTCCTTTCTCCACTTGCTTATTTTGATGAAATATGATAGGCACAATATTTTTAGGCGTTCTCCCCTGCCTGTCAGGTTACAAAGCTGTTAGCTGGAGGTTGTATGGGCTGACACATAAACAACATGACCACATTAAACCCAGTTTCCTGAGGAAGCCACTCTAGAGTAAAAGTTTTGATTTGGTGGAGACATCTGCAGGGGTGATGGAGAGGAGAGTAGCAACTTTCAGAAAAATAATGGGAGGGTTAAAAAGAAAATAAACTTGCTTTTTCTTTCTTTAAATGTCTTCTGGAGGGACTTTTCCTGAGTGCTTTCTAAAATGTTTTTTGTTTATGTGGTAAAAAGCAGAAAGGAAAGCAGGATAATAACAGCAAAACATTGATGGTAAGGTTTGTATGTTTCTCAACAAATACAGATGGACAAATAGATAAATGGATAGGTAGATATAAATTTATAACAAGTTATATAACTTTAAGATATTTAAAACTAAAAAGTCATCCAAACACGAAGAATAGAATTATTCGAAAAGGATTTGCCTTTTTTTTTTTTTTGGTACAGCCCGGAAAGAGCTGCAGAAGCCATCCTCCAGAATAGTAAGCTCCCTCAGCAGCTACAGTGCCTGACTGCTGACCCAAGAAGGGCCAAAACATCTCTGAGAAATGCCAGATCATTATATGAAAAGTGATTTACTATCTTGATCCTGAAATGTCATTGTTTTCTCCATTCCTCCTACTACGTAAAGGTGAGGTATCCACAGATCTGCTTGGTGATGAAGTAGTACAATGACTTTAGAAGTTCTCCTTTACTACCATCTTTGCCTCTCTGACTCTTTGGCCCACAATGCTGCTAGCACTTCTACTCCCTGTGCATCTTTACAGCCTGTCTGCAGCTCTAAACTCCACCTGGCAGGTGCAGAGAACCAGAAAAAAAATATCGAATATTGTGCTAAGGTAAAGAACAGGTGCTTATCCCAGTCTTGGGATATCTATTATATATATTATATCATATCTATTGCATCCTCTTGCAAGCCATGGCTGTCCATTTGCTCAGGGACTGTGTGCTACTCAGTGGACAGGGGAATGCAGAGACTGGTTTCTGAGCCCCAGATCTGAAATTGTGTGTTCTCCTGGAGCATGGTTGATTGTACACCCTCCCTGAAATACAAGACATGCAGCAATGTCAAACCAGAAATGAACACAAGGGTGGGAAGAGGACTGATCTAGCAGCATGCTTGAGATTAATTTCAAAAGTTTTTTGTACCATTCTGGCCGTGAATGGATGGACCTCAGAAAATACAGATAGTGGGTGACAATGGTTTGAAGTTGGAATTCTAGACAAAAGGTTTTCTCTTGTCATCTCTGCATGCATAAAGTGCCATATATTGTGTCCTGAAAACCTATTTTTGGCAATGAAAAAACTTGAAGTGTCTCCCTCTCTCCAAAAAAAAAACGAGAGTAGACGAAAGAAAAGTCTCTGCCAGAAACCATGATGGGACAAATCTCCAGATTGCAGGAAGTCTGGGGATAAAATGATTGTCATAGATGTCAACAGGCTGAGTCTTTGAAAAAATGAAAGGATTGTGTATGACCAACACAAGAACCAGTGTTTCCAGTAACAAACTGAAAACTGGAAAGTTGTTTGACAGGGTCAGTAAAAGCCCTCTCTAGAGAGGCAGTTTCTGAAGAGAAGATTAGCATTCTGATGCTAATACCTTACACAGCCTCTCCTCTTGAACAGGAAACCTTTTTGATAACTAATTCATCACATATGACAGACACATTCAGAGTGTTGTGTCCTCTCCCCCCCCTCCCAATCTCTTTCCCTTTCGATGTCTGTAAAGCCCAGCTCTTTTGCACTGAATATTTGCTTTCAAGGGTGCCTTGCTAGAAATAAGTAACAATTTTGTAATAGCCAAGCAAATACCCTGGCTCCACATCTCCCTTCCAAGACTCAGTGTGAACGTAAACCAGATGTGATCCCAACAAAAAGGCATCCTCTGATGTACCAGATGGGACTCCTTCATCACTTTCCCATTGACTAAATATAGTTGGGGGGAAACAATAGTACCAACATAGAGCACTGAGGTCGAGTGATATGAAGAAGGATTCTTTCCTTTTTTTTCCAGAAGCTAGTGACAAATCTCTGAATAGACATGTAGTGGGAAATCTAGGAGCAAATTTTCCCCATTTTTTGCCCTATATAATTCTTCTGTCTGGTTGGCCATTATGGACTGCAAAGTATTTCCTAGCTTTGGTTTTGTTTTCAATAGCAATTTTCATCCCCATTTCAACCTTAACTGCTATTGTGGGTCTTTGCTACTGCTGTGCTATAGACAACAGCAGCAGCAGGAATTTTAAAAATAGAGCAGGAAATTTAACAACTGTAAAAAACTCCTTACCCCAGAGAACCATTGTTTATCCTTCTTCATGTATGCTAGCAATAATTATACTAAAATCTGCTTAGGAAAAAGGGTCCATTTTACATCAGAGGAGAATATGTAAATTTTTTCCTCAAACTGAATACAAAGACTGTTTCAATGAATGTGGCTTTCTGTTTAAAAAAAAAAAAAAAAAAAAAAAAAGAACAAAAAGTCTACCCATAAAAATTACCATTTAAAAAAAGCCTTCTCCATCCAAAAATCCAAACAACTGAATACAAACTGTGGATCTCTTCCTTTAAAATGAGGGAAATAATCCAAGTTGACCTTAGGTTTCTCTGTGTTATACAGGGCTTCTGGTTGAGAGACACGCCACAGGACTACCACATACTCCAACCTCCTGGATGTGTTGTCCAAAGCAGGAATGCCAGGCTCATCTTTGCTGTATTTCTCTAGTCTACTCTTACTGATGAAATTACAGGTTTATTGTGGGCATACACCAGCCCTGGCGAGCATGTGCCCAGAAAAAACAGTGAAGCAGTGGGAGGTCTGTGGCTGAGGGGAATGATACAGCATTCAAATAGCGACGGCAGCCTCACAGACTCAAATCGATATTTACATACCTTCTTAGCCTAAAGCAGCTTTTCATCATCAGGTTGGTAGAACATTTCCCAGCTCTTCAAACAGAACTTTAAGGGTTGATGGCTTCTCTTCCCATTTCAGAGACACGTTTCACCATCTTGTAAGACACAATGCAAAATCTTTTTGTTGTTTGAATGGAGGTGAAGGTTTCACCCAATATAAAGACCTCTTCTCTAAACGCGAAATGGCTTCTACTGCACTAGAGCAATTAAGTTCCAATTTGGGTGAAATGATTCATGCTTCAATAAATTCAATTTCAACAAGACATAATTATGGTGAGTCACATAATCACAGATTAATCACAGCACCTCCCATTTAGCAGTCAAAACAGCGGAGGATTCCAAATGCAATGCATATGATGCTGCTCCACAGCTTTTGCTTCACTAAATTCCATTTCTGCTTTATAGGTTGATCTTACACAAGCTCACGAAAGCTTTAAGGGTTGCACATAGATGTGTAAGAAAGCACGGAGAATTCTCTTACTGTTTAACACCTGGAGAACGAACTTGAAAGAATGAATGCTGCCAATATTAGTGACTTCAGCAAGAACCTGAGGGTCTCCTGTTTGCTACTGAGCTTCCCTTGACATGATGAATTGTTAGTGAGGATTGAAGATACCCCGTGCCTTCAATAACTGAGCTCAAGTGGTCTCACAAAAAGGAGAATGTTAATTCTCATGAATTCTTCCATTGACTTAGTTCTTCAGAGCTGTAGGGGATGGGAAACCTCTCCACGCTAACATCTGAGCATCCTCTTCCTATCCAACATTCTCAAGATACTTAAAAACATCTGTTAGGACTTTCCTACTGCTCAGTGCTGACCCTGAGCATCTTCTGTCTACACTGGCTCCTGTCTCACTTCAGGTATAATACTGTCTCCTTCTTTCTCCATACTCCATTTTCACTGCTACTAAATCTAGAGACTGCAACAGGATCACTTAGTAGAGCCTAGCTCAGATTGTCTCATTTGAACATCACTCGTAGCCTCACGTACACTTGCCACAAACCAATGAGGGAGAAATTCCTTCTTTGTGATCAGACAATTTGCGGCTGCCCTTTACCAGACCTTGGGTAGGAACGTATGCAGTGGTTTTTCCAAATGCTGTAACCCAGCTTATTCTGTGTGACCAGCTTATTTTGAATTGCTGTTGGATCATTTTATGGAATTGTTTTGCTTTCAAAGCTTTCATTCTCCAAAGTGGTCCAAAAGGGGTTTATTTTCTTTTGCTTTTTATTGCATTTATTTTTAAGGTGCTAGTGGTGGTGGTGGTGGGAGCAGGGCAGGAGGGTGTGTTTTTTGACAAGATTGTTTTCTGACATTTTGTTTTGTACAACCACTGATCAGTATAAAGTTTGACAAGCTGATTTTTTTTTCCCCATACATCTTGTGAGTTTTCTCTAGAATTCAGTTTGGTTTTAAATGTTGGCTAAAGGATCTGTGGAGCGGGTGGAGTGTTGATGGAGATGCTGGTAAATTAACATTGTCAGCAAATTAATAAAACCTTTAAGAGAAAAGCCTTCAAGGCCAAATACAAGGTTTCTTTAATCTTTTCTCTCTCCTCCCTCCCCCCTTCCCTTCAAGAAATCCTTTCTTCCCCTTAAAGAATCAACAAATTCTTTTTCTTTTTCCTTTCCTTTCCTTTCCTTTCCTTTCCTTTCCTTTCCTTTCCTTTCCTTTCCTTTCCTTTCCTTTCCTTTCCTTTCCTTTCCTTTCCTTTCCTTTCCTTCCTTTCCTTTCCTTTCCTTTCCTTTCCTTTCCTTTCCTTTTCCTTTCCTTTCCTTTCCTTTCCTTTTTCCTTCCTTCTCCCCCTTCTCTCTCTCTCTCTTTTTTTTTTTCTTTTTTCCCAGAGAAGATTAGCGTATTTTTCTGGACACAAAAGGAAGACAAACAGTAGAGTACAGCATTTCTGGAGAATTAATAATGTTGTGACAATCAGAAAGTGAAGGTGAATTGACAGAAATCGAGGCTAGATGTGTGCAGAGGACCAGAGAAGGAACAGCGGGCAATTCGTGTATACAACATGAGTAAGTGCGTGTGCAAAGCAGGGTGCTGAACAAAGGAGCATAGCCTTTCAAATGAAACAAGATGTGAACGTGAGGTCTGACAGGGGCATGGCTAGCCCTTCAACAATTCAGAAAGCAGAGACCCACCTCAGTCAGCACAGATAATCTGCATCTGTGCAATTTGCTCGGCACCATAGCTCCTGAGGTGCTGGCTCCCTTGTGGGGCTTCAGGGACCCAAGTGGTCTGCAGGCTTCTTTGTAGCCATGACCATGGTGCCTTTCAGAAGTGATTTGTGTGGTGGCCACAGCCAGAGGTGCTGTTGGGTACCTCCACTCTGGGAATTTCTGAATTGGATGGGAAGAAACCAGAGGAAGTTTCCAACTGACTGTTTATACTCTCCCGCCAGCAAGCGCAGGGTGGGGTTTTGAGTGGAGAATGTTGCTCAGGACAACTGTAAGCCTAAAAAGCCACATTTATTCCATGGCTTGAGCCTGTATCCACAGTCCCAGGAGATTATATTACTCACAGAAAAAGCTTATTAAAATCTCCCATGCATCATAAGATATGCCACCCAACAGGAGGCCATGATTCTGTCCCAGTCTTAGTGGCAAGTGAATTGTAGAGAAGAGGTGTCGAGATATGACTGTATGCTCCCAGAAAGGCCTTCTAATTTCCTCGCTTTTGCAGGCTACGACAGACCTCCACGGAGAGGTCTGCCTTGGAGATGTGGTCTTAGTAATCTCATGGATACAGCACTCTCTCCAAGTTAAGTCTGACCCAAAATTAATGCTAGGGTAGTTTCAGAAGCACTGTGCAGTGAAGAGGTCTAATGTGGTCCTTGAAAGACAAGATACTTTTTTTTTTTAAAACAAGAGTTGAGATGTCATTCCAACTAAGCTGCATAAATTCCGTTATAAACAATACCATGTGCCTCCTGAGCCCTCTATTGTAATCATTTTATGGATTATTCCCCTTTGTTTCTTCCCAAATCACTCACTGGGACTGTTGCACTCTACAAACCTCCAAGGTTTGTAGGTTGTATTACACCTCCAAGATAGCTATCTCCTAGCTGAGATAAAGATAGTGACAAAATGACCCCACTCCTCAATTTGTCTATGGAGCCAATTCTCCCATCAATTTGGCTCCGTTTTTCCTGATGGGACTTTTGCTCCATAAAACATTTTGTGTCTACTTCCAAGTCACAGGTCCATACAAACTGAAACAATTCTCAAAATCCTTGGAAGTGGGTGGAGGGTGGTACACAATCACTGAGCCAGCTCCACAGTCCAGTATCAAAAACAAGAGCAGACCTGGAAAAATATTACAAAACTCTTCCACTGGCACCAGCGGGTCAGTGTCATTACAGGCAGCGGTGTTGTTCTCAGATACTATTTCTTTGGCTTCCTTCTCCTTTTTCCTCTCCCTCCTCTGAAGCACATTTTCTTTCCCTTGTATTGCACAGTAGGGTTGTATCCCTGGAGATTCACAGCGATGAGGAGGAGTAGGCAGAGATCAAAAGCACTTCTAGCTTTGAAAAGATTATTCCTGGCCTCAAACCAAGTACGGCAAGCTCCAATCCATCCATCTTATTCAAACAGTGTTTCAAAACTGGTCACCCAACCCTTTTGGATACTGCTTCCCTTTCAACTTTATATGGCACACAGAATTCTTTGATTTTACCTTTTAAAGCATGGCACCGAATTCTTTAATAGCGCTACGGACTGCTCGTATTTTTTTAAACCTGATGCTGCAGACTTCTGTAGTGTTTTCAGTCTTGCTCAGCCTCTTTCAGGGCCAAAATCTCTCAGTTGCTTTACAAACCATCTACACCTATTTTACCTTGGCTCATTGACCCTTCTAGAGAAATAAATCTAAAAATGTTCTCTGTATTACTGTGGAAATTCTCCAGAAATCTAAAGTACCAAACAAAAACAAAAGAGCCAATGATAATTACAAGAAGCTGGCCAACAAATGGACATGGTCTGTTTAGAAGAATGCCAAGATCTACAACACTTGTTCAAAAGATCATTTAATTTTAAGAGCTGGGTGGGGATAGTATTGTCAACAGCGAAAGATGCATGAGTTGAGTACATTCCTAGTGTATATAGAATGTGCTGTACTTTCAAACAACTTTGACAGGATGAATATCACACAGGAAGGGATCAACAGGCTTCATCTTGTCCATCTCTGAATCACAAGTTTAGACAGTCACAAAAGGAATCAGATGTTCAGGAGTATGCTCCTTGGCTGTAAGCTATCAGACTTTCAAAAATCACAAACTGTTTTACTTTTGTATTAAAAGTGTTCGTAGCTCCAAGCCTCCTGAAGTAAGAAGTGCTTAGTAGCCCAGCCATCCATTCATGTCTGTTATGACTAGCTAAAACAAAGAGATTTGGTTGGCTAGTTCTATCTGTGTATCACAGTGCATAAACAAGTGCAAATGGAAGACATGTCTCAGTGTCACATCTGCTGGATAAAATAGTAGAACGCATCCTGCAAGTTATTCCAGAGAGACGGGTCACAGTCTGACCATGCACTAGTGTGTTTGGAAAATGGATGATTATCCAAAATTGCCTTGCTTTTGGAAAACAACCAGAAAAAACTAAATTGCTCAAGAAAACAACAACTCTCTCAAATTCAAAATGTTCTGAATGGATTAGGAAGGAACAACATCAGTGAAACCAGTCATTTTATTTCTCCCATATGCCTTGGAAAGTAGTAGGTCATGAATAACGCTTTGTGGATTTTAGGGATGAGATGTGCACACATATCTTGGTATGAGCACCAAGAACTTTCAGAGAATGTAAAAACATTTTCAATACAAAGTGCTTCTAAAATGTGGCTTCTCTAAAGACAGTAGCATGTTGGGAAAAAGGGGTATCAAAGGGGTATCTGTGGAAAGCAACAAAGCATGGGCCAGGCTAACATGATACTTCAAGAGTATTGAGAAGGCCATTCACTTTCTACATTTTTTTTTCCATGCAAGATAAGTCTTAGACATTTATAGCCAAAAACTTAGCTGAAAAACAAAGATAGCCCAAAAGTACACTCTGGATAGATACTATTGAAATAGCCAGTTATTTGATCTTGGCT